TAAGGTCTCAACAGCTACAACACAGATCTTAAGAAGAGGCATAATATAGGTAATCAGTTAAATCCTACGTAACATGAAACTCTGAAAACTCCTCATGCTCCGAATCCTTATGTTTTATGTGGCAAAAAAATTCAGAATTTTACCATTTATGTTGGTCACTTGACTTCTCAACTTTCATGGTTTCTTGCTCGCTACCTCTACAGCTACAAGCAAGAACAAGACTAGACTGGAGATCAGGCAGATGTACAAAGTAGAGACCTTTGGAAATCCCTTTAACTTAACATCAAGGTGTTACTACCATGCAGCAAGCAATTATGAACAACTTAACTGCTCTGTTTCTCAGCGCATGAAGCAGCAAGGCTGAGCAGAATTACTGAGAGCTGAGAGGGAAGAAATCTCTTGCTATGCTAAAGGGACTGCCAATTTAGCAGTTCCCTCTTTTGAAGAATTAAGAGAAAAGTGAAAATCCATGTAATAGTGAAGAGGGTATGTGAGAATAGATTAAAGAGCTGAACACAGAATCATAGAATCAGTTATGCTTGAAGAGACCCTGAAGATCACCAAGTACAGCCATCAACCTAACACTACCATGCCCACCACTAAGCCACATCCCTAACTACAGGGTGTCTACCACATTAGAAGATAAAAGCTTGAACATTCCTTCCCTCAGAAAGCAGGCACACGGAGTTAGTAAGTAGTTCTCTCTGAAAACAATCACTTAGAGAGGACAAGCCCAGAAAGAGCAAGCAAGTATGGGAGTAACTAAAAAGGAAATGTTATTTTTGTTTTTCAAAGTTTTAGATCTACAGTTTGTCACAAATCAAATAGCAATTTTTATTTATTTATTTTTGTTTTTTTCATAGAATCACAGAATGGTTTGGGTTGGAAGGGACTTAAAAGATTGTCTAGTTCCAACCTCTGCCATGGGCTGGTTGCCCCATCCAACCTGGCCCTGACTGCTCTCAGGGATGGGGCATCCACAGCTTCTCTGGGCAGCCTGCATCACCACTTTTTTTTTCCCCTACAAGCTCCCTTATTGCTTCAAAGATACAGCATCTTATTTATTTTATTTCATCAGGTTTAATAACTTATGTTCATTACTTCTTGCTTTTTCCAAATAACAGAGTTGTTAGCATAAACACCAAGTTCGTATTGCTTGCTTTCCTGGCTATTCCAGTAGTCTTACTGATACTGCTGGCGCCTCACTGAGAGAATATACTTCTCCAAACTTTGTAACCTGTTACTACGTGGATTACGCAGCCTGTATAATGTGGACACTGTCAACAAAAGCAAATTTTATTAATTGCTGCTTCAGACTACCTGTGCTTCCTGGCACATGCTCCCAGAAGTTTGCTGTCCATCAAGAACTGACAGAGAACTGCCAAATAGATACAGATACATGTATACATATATAAATATATATTAGAGAAACAGCCCAATTCTAAGACCAACTTAAGACATCCCTAAAGTTAAATTGACACATCTCACTGAAGGCAGCTGAACTCAAACTCATGATTAAATCTGTGCAAAACAGCATTCGATTCCTTTATTTTTTTTTTATTCCCTCAACTCTTCAAGGTGAATAAAGGTGAGTGTACATCACCCAGTGCTGTTTGATTATTTTTTATGTGTAGAGCTCCTTTATCTGGAATGGACAGACTGCCCAGGAGCTGTGGGGTCTCCTCCTTGGAGTTCTCCAAAAGCCACCTGCATGAGGTGTGAGGTACCCTGGGAGTCCCTGCTGGAGCAGGGTTTGGGCCAGATGGATCTGGAAGTCCCTGCCAACCTCAGCCATGCTGTGATTCTGTGATGTTTTATTAGCTACCATTAGTAAAATCAACCGAGTCCTAATAATATCCTTTTGCATCATTGAGACACAGTAACAATGTATTTGAATTTACAATGTTTTGAATTACACATCACATAAAATTTATTTGCTTAAGCGTACACAAACCCAGAGATTTTAAACCCTCTTTTCAATGAGCTTTATAAGAAGGGAAATATTTACATTGCATAATAATTTAATTCATTACTGTTAATTCACTACCACAAGGGTGCTACCATTTCAATAGCAACATCACATACATAAGATAAATTCTGGAACAGAATGAATTTTATTAGCTAGGAAATGTGTCAATCTTTTGATTAAATTAACAAAGAAATTGAGTGCATTAGGAAATAGTAATACCATCAGCAAAGCACAAAGAATTAGTCCAAGTAAGGATTTGTATTTTAGAAGAGAATGCCTGGAGGATGTAGTGTATTTGTAAGTCAGGCTCAAGCTCCAACAACTGTGAAAACAATCTGTTAACTTCTTTCTTCAGTGCTGCTATTTGAATGTAGAATGAAGAAGATTATGAGGTTAAGACCAAGCATCAGTTAAGCTGCAGAGTACATTCCTGCAGTTTTCCATCCACAAAGTGTAAGGATGATTAATATTTTGAATGCCATGAGAAAAATGTAGAGCAGTCTGACAAGCTCTGAGTGCTCTACTTCCCACAAAAAGAAGACTCTTAAAAGATTTGACGCCCACCATGATAACTGAAAAGTGTCCTTGGTTAGATGTGTACCAGCAAACAGAGCAACCAAGAGCTGCTCCCTGATCCTGAGATGAAGGATGGCATAGAATCATAGGATCATAGAATTGCTCAGAATGGAAAAGACTTTCAGGACATGGGATGGTCTGTCACAGCCATGGCTGAATTCTTCCCACTCAAAACAGAACGTTTGTATCCAAACCATTGGGAATGGATCCCGTCCTCTGCCAAGCTCAGGCCCATGTTGGATGGGTCTCACACTGGCAATTCTTGATTCTTTCCTCTTTCAGGAAAAGACAGCAGTGCTCCACAGAAGCACAGAAAAAAAAATAAAAATGTCACAGAGCTCCACCAATCTGCAGAGCACAGCGCTCATAAAGTTAAGAGCCACCAAGAAGCTCAGAAGTGGAGGCAGTACTTCATCCTTGTCATGTCTTCCATGCTCATCAAGTTCCCTCATCACTGCACAGAAAATCTAGTCTACTCTTGGATAGATCATGAAAGGGATTTAAATGGGGCAACAGAAATGAAGCCTGCTGAATGACTATTACTGAATCATTTGAGCACTAAGTTCAATGCATTAACCTCTAGCTCAAAATAATAAACTGTAAGCAATAAAGGCCTTTTAAAAGCAGAGAATTTAAGACCAAAACCAAAGCTCATAGAATAAAAGAATATCACATAAGAACTACACAAAAATAAAATCAAATGATCTAGCTACTAAAATACACATATGTGCTCAAAATCTTGTGGGAATCAAATATTCCAGTAAAAACAAAGGGAGAGATGGAAACACAAGTTTCTTATTATCACACTTCATACGTTATAAAACCTAACAGTTAACTTATTTTTGGCAAAGGGACAAAGGTTGCACAACACTCTGGCTTGTACAAATATTTTCTATTGCTAAATGCATCTTAAATGTGGTTTATCGTATAATTTCATGCACACAGTGCACCATGAAGTCTAAATGTATCCCAGAGATACCTACAATGCAAAACATTGATAAGTAACACGCTGCCAACATCCAATGAGCCAAGTGTAAAAAAATTACTCAACAATTCATAGTTCAATTGAAACCAGGTAAAACCATTTTGTAATAAGCACTGTAGAGATGTTGACCAAAGAAAAGTTGGTATTTCTGGACAAATTACTACATATGATATTTTCTAAAACACTCCCTCTTGAAAAGATAAAACAATAATAAAATTTATCTCAAAAAAAAACCTCCTTGTTTATAATCACAAATACGCTTGGGAAAATTTGGAAGGTTAACATATAAGGTTAACTTCATGTTTCACTTTTTTGTTGCCATTTTCTTCAAAGGGAAAAAAAAAGTTGGATGTGCAGTGGAAACAGTTATAAAGATGTGGAAGAACCAACTCATGCATATGTTAAACATAGACTTTATGCTAACACTGCACTCCCTTCCACTGAAGTGCTTATAAAGTAAAAGAAGAGGCAATGATTTAGCAAGAGTGAATATTTAATAACAAATTCAGCATTCTTCATTGACCATCCACGAGCAGAGTGAGTTATCAGCAACACTAACAACTCTGTCTCCCAACCTGACAGTGTCCTTCCTCATGTTTCCTGCTGCTTCACAGCGAGGAAGAAAATTGTTCAGATGAACAAAGGTAAGAATATGCAGCTACACCTCCAATTCCCCTTACACAAACCAGGACTGTGCTGCAGAAGCACTGGTATCTATCAAAATTTAAAAACAATGCCTTTTAGAGCTGTTCTCATCACAGTTTATTTTATTATTTTCCATATAATTTTCCACCTAGAGCTAGCAATCTGCTTTTCTTGAGATCTTTGATCCTTGAGAAGCTCTAATTAAAATCATAACCAGTTTTATTTTTTGACGTTGCAACATAATTTAATATATAAAAATAATTGAAATTAATTAAAAAACCTTATATCTAGCATCTGTTTACATATTATTTCACACAGAGAGTGGTGAGGCACTGGAATAGGTTGCCCAAGGAGGCTGTGGATGCCCCATCCCTGGAGGCATTCAAGGCCAGGCTGGATGTGGCTTGAGCAGCCTGGTCTGCTGGTTGGTGACCCTGCACAGAGCAGGGGGCTGAAACTGGATGACCATTGCGGTCCTTTTCAATCCAAGCCATTCTATGATTCTATGATTATGTAATGACGATAAGACAACAAGAAAGCCTGAAACATATCTATTGGCATTAATAATCATTTGTACTACGTGGGCATTTTGAGGTCCAGATTTAGAACAAGACCTTCATCCTACAGTAAACTGCTTAATTATATTTTATTTGGCTTAGTTCATTAGCTCATTTATGTTTTTATTTCATTTTAATGAGAACTAGGATTGAAAGCTTGCCTATACAAGAATACAGCTTCCACAGGAAAGTCCTGGCAATATTCACAAGCTGACCATGTGCATTGTTTTGCTAACAATGCAACCCCCACGCTTCAAGGTTGATGTACCTGAAGTTCTGATGCTCGCTTCATCATCTCCAGTGTGATGTAGCAACCAATAGAATGAGCAATCAGTACCAGCTTTATATCTTTAGATACGTTCTTTTTAAGGAAGTTCAGCTTATGTTCTACTTGTCCATTAAGTCCAAACACATCCTCCAGCTCCTTAATGTCTGTGTCTGAAACATAAGAGAAGAAAAAAAGTCCTTTGTTTTAATAAAAGTTCCAACTACCTCAGTTCTCTCTACTTTTTTGGAAAATTCTGAAATACAACTTTTAATAATAAAAAAAAAAAAATTAGCAGAGCTGGTAAATGGCAGACCATCATTAAATGTGCAGGCATATACAACTAGCCAGCTAGAAAAGGATACAGCAACTCCTGGAGCTTGATGGTTCATTGTCTGCTATGATATTTGGTACAAGGCCAAACTCACAACAAGGGTTCAGCTTAAATTAACCCAATTTTATATTGTAAGTTCAGGATCTAATATAGCAACACTCCTCAGGAACAAGAGATCCTTCAATCAAGACAAATGATCACCATGTTACATGTGCTGAGGACAGTCAGATACCTAAGGTCTCTTGTCTTAATAAATGCACAGAAAAAAATAATCCCATAGGGTGAGGAAAAATATGGAATGCATATACATCAACATGGAGCAACGGCAATTACACAAATTACACAGATCTAGGCAGGTTATTATCATCACTGATCCAGCTACAAAGAGCATCAGGTGAGAGCTTCAGGTTTCCAGGTCACTGTATGATTTCATTCCCGTTCTGTCAGGGACCTCCCAAAGGAGCTTGGGCAATCACTAACAATGAGAACTTCACCACTTGCTCCCTGGCCAGCCAACAAGACTGGGATAATCCAGACTGTAACAATTTGCATCAATCAGGGCTTCGTTAGCACTGGCTCATGATATGGGTGACATGGCTCTGAAGTTCTAAGTCTAAGGGGACTCACAGAACTTTAATCTGCCAGAAAAATACTCCACCTGCTAAACTAAAAGGTATGCTAAGGATACACCACTCCAGTTTAATCTGGGCTGCTGTATGGAAAAGAATGCAAGAAAAAACAAGAATGAAAAACGAGAGGCAGAAAGCATGAAGAAACTTGTAAGAGAAAGCTAGCTCATAGAGTAGGCCCACTTCAGATGTAGCTGGTTTTGTATCTGCAAAGAGGAAGTGGTAACAGACACCTTTCTAACCACCCATTATCAAATTACAATGATTTACAGGTCCTTCAATCTCCGTGCAGTAAATCTGTAACCCCAAATGCTAAAAATTACCAATACAAATGAGTTATGGGAACTCTGGCCGCAACAGTAGTAATTGGTAGCATGAGTTGGCGCTAAATTGCCTCTTCGATGATCTGTATAATACATAATGTTTTGAAGCAAAATAGTTGTTTTAGAACGTGCCCTGATGCCTTTTTCCTGAGCTTAAAATATTACCACAGAGGCAACAACAAGCACATTTTTCTTTAGTATTTCTACTAAAACTACTTATGCTCACAACCCAACATAATTTATAGTAGTTTACTCTGAATGAAAAAGACCAAAACACACTTAAGGAATGTAACACTGGATTAGAAGTAATATATTACCTATTAGGCTTTCTACAAGTAATGTGAAACAAGAAGCTTGTTCTGTTTCTTGAAACCCTAAGGCCAACACATTGTTTTTAATCTTAGTTCCTATTTTTAGTTAGAGCTACTTTTTATTTATTTATACAGTAGCTTAACCACATGCAGGAGTGGGCTGTCTGCACTGCAAGTCTCATTAAGTGTATATGTAAAACACACAGTAACAGAAAACTAGATATATAGTGACCCACTGGATACAGGAACAAGTGACAGAGTATGTTACATTGAGTATAACTGTATTGCCATGTGTTGGGTTGAAGAGGCCAATTTTACTCTGTAAACATTATCTACCATTCCCATACTTCATTTCTCAGGCACTGCCATCTTCAATGATTTATCAGCAAGCCTTTTAATTTTGGACATTCCATTCATAGCCTTTGTTCTTAAAAAAGGGGGGGATTAACAAGAATTTCTGCTTCTTCTAGGTTAGAGAAAGGGAAAAGGAGTAAAGTAGGAGGAGAAATCTTCTAGACAACCTCTCCAGGTTCATAAGACTACAGAGACCAAGCAGGAAACAACACAAATTCTATTTGTATTCTTCATGCAACCTTATGATTTTGAAGCAATTTTATAATACCATTGTCAATACACATGACAGAAAATTATGGATGTCTGGATTAATGGCTGCTTTTCTCAGCAAAAACTCAGTATCTGCTACAAGCAAAATGCTGAAAGTTACTGCAATGTTGTCAATGAACAATACAGCAAATACTGCCTTGCACAGCCTCAACACTTTCCAAATCAAGGTTATTTGTCTAACAGATAATTAAATAGTTTCTTAAGACATTAAATATTTAATTCAATATTTACTTAACCACTAAAATAGCAGTGTAGAGTTCAGGTTAACATACTCAAAATTATTACTGATTTCATTAGTGACGTACCTACTGAGAACCAGTTTTGTTGCCAAAGTAAGAATGTGAAGGAAGGGTAAGGGCTGGACAGGTAGGATTAAAAACAGAGAATAAGGGCTTTTTCCTCCTGTCGTTTGCTCAGGCTTGAGTTTAGGACTCGAACATACTGAAAGTGAGTCCGAACAGCCAGTGCTGACTCAATAGAATTGTTCTAGAAGTTTAATACAACTTTTCCTTCTCTTCTGTAACATTGGTTTGTTGCCAAACCAAATTGCATTGGTTTTGCTTACAGAAAATCCACCTTGGATGAGCATGCAGCACAGGGTCTGGAGATGTAACTGTCATCCCAATAGACCCAGCACTGTTGTCAGGTGAACTCCAGTGTCACATAACTCTACAGTGAAATACATATTTTATTTTACATCTGGCCAAACATAAAACTGCCCATGTCTCACGGCAATTTGTGTTTCCTCAGTACAAATGATGTGCTTATAACAGTCCAAAATATGTGGAGCTGGGCCGTGTCATACATCTGAAAGATTTATTTATTTATTTTATGGAATAATATCGTCCAGGGATTATCCAAAATCAACATGAATTTCTTGGGTGGAGGAGCTTAAATTGGTTCTTTATATAAGCAAACAGACTTGCACAAACACACTGGCAGTCAGCTTTGTGATGGCTGTACATCAGAGGAGGGACCAGAGAGCGAATTACTTCACCTCAGGTGTGGAACAAATGGCATGGCTGAAATAAAGCTCATTTAAGCTCTTTTCAGATAGTAGAAATTATATGACTTGTACCTTATGCCACAAACACCCCAGCTGGGCCAAAGCATGTGATTGCAAGACTTTACTTAGCTGAAGTGTATTAAAAGAAATACTGTATTTCTTTATTTTCTTTGGCAAAACATCAATCTTCTGATGTGCTTTTGGAAAAACAAATGCACAATCACTTTAATGAATCTCTTCTTCTGACCTCTGCTAAACCCAGTGTCAGAAAACAATGATAGATTAAAATAAAGTGTTTGCTCTGAGATTAGTCGACAAGTTAATCTTGCTGGGGAAGAGGACTTCACTTTTTAGCAAAATAACAGAGAATTTTGTTTGTTTTTCTGCTGTGTATGCATGGGAAATTCTTAGGGAAAAAAAAAAAGCACATCAGTTACATGAGCAGCCTTTATACTGTAGATTCCTGAAATTAATAATTATTCAGAAATCATAGATTTTCTTTTCCTTCAATGATTCAAAAAGATACTGGAGGCAAGATTTTCCAGTGCTACTGTTAAAGCTCACACACTTCGTGCATGCGTGTGCACCTCCCTAATTTCACAACGGAATGCTTGTACATCCAAATGCCCCAGAGGATAACAGTACTGCAGCTAGGTATGCAGACACTCATTTGACTGTCAGACAGCAACTCAGTCTCTCTCACGATCCATTCATATGTGAGGTCTGGGAATTGCTCAGGAACAATGAGGCAAAATATACTTTTATTCTGTTTTTCTGAGAAAGGGAAGAAGATAAAGCATCCTAAAAATTATGAAGCAGAAAAAGAAAAGAAAAAAAAAAACACCCGCACAAACTCCCTAAGTTTTTTGTCCCTAACACAAATACACGTAGCATCTTTTGTGCCAAGACAAAAGACTTACCACATCACTGACCTGGTATAAGCATGGGATGCTCCACATAGCTTATAAAAAAAAAAAAATAAAAAATCCTGCTTTATGAAGAAACAGAACAAGCCAATCAGAAATCATAATTAAAATAACAAATGAAATGACCATTCTTTTTGCTTGGTTATTAAGCACCTGAAAACCTCCTTGATTCAGAGTGTTCCACTTAAGACTCATGTTGTCCTGCCTAAATCACAAAATGAAAGGAAAAAAAAAAAACTTTTCTACTTTCTTCACTTTGCTTGTATTTAATAAATTAGTCATAGAAAGGATGATAACTCCATGGAAAACAGAAGACAGAGCAGCACCTTTTACATCAAGTTCTGAAAACGGCACAACGCTTTTTTCTATAATGTCCTACTGCAAGTCTGGCAGTAGAAATGAAAACACCTCCATCTGTCCTACATGGAAGGGATGAGTGAGAAATCCCAGACACAAATGTTTCTATGAGCAGGAGACCAATGATCCCTCCAAGACAGAACAACAAGGGTTTTACTTTTCCTTGACTTCTGGGGACATACTGCAGTGATAATGACATGATGCCACTGACCGTGGAACCCATAGGTGGAACCACAATGCCACTGTCAGTGAGACCCATAAGGAGTTGTAAGATTGTGATTATACCTGTCCTGAATAAAACCAAGGAGCTGCTTGTTGCCTAAAAGGAAGATTAATCTAGGAGGATTCTCATAAGTACTGACAATGCGGCTCACATATCCTTCTACATTTGGTAGCTATAGGTAGGTAGTATCAAGAGGAAATAAAGGAAACCAGGAGAAGATACTGACAGCTCAAAGATAATACCAAAGCTTAGGAAAGGGAAGGTACACGGCATCACTGTGACCAAGCCAATAGCTCAGGAGGGCTAGCTTAGGGTCACCTTAGGTGCATTCCATCCTCACAGACCATAAGTGAACATAACACACTGGACCAAGCGTTTTAGACTTTTCCAACACAACCTATACAAACACTGCAGGGGAGAAGCAGCAACTGGGACTGTGT